TGGCATACAATTATTTATAATCTTTATTTCTTACAAACATTTCTTGGGTATATTTATGACTCCAAAAGTTGCTAGAAATAAATACAATGTTGAGGGTGTTGTTTTGCTCTGCAGCATGTTAGTTTCTTGCTTATTTAATTAAATTAATTGAAATAAATTGATTAGGTGCAGGTATTTATAGAGATATCCATAAAAGATATCCATAAAAAGAGATATCCTGAAAGTGCCATCTTAAATAATAGTTAGACTATAGATAAAAATTCTGCAATTGTCACCTTCGGAATGTTGTTGCCTACTTCATTGAAGTTCTATAGTGTATTTTTCGATTGAAACACAGTTTGACTTAAATGAAGGTTTGGACTAGAAACTTTCCAAGGTTCCATCCAGCCCTATGATTCTATTATTCAATGAGAATGGTTAAAATAAACTATTCTATATGAATGTGTTTCTAGACTGCATACTAAAATAGCATTTTCCTCAGTGTTTTGGATAATACATAAGCAGCATGTTTGTCACGAAAACTTTCTATTGTGTTTTAGAGCCTGAGGGCTCAATTTGAACTGTGGCTGGCAGAAGACATCTTCCTTTCTTTATATTAAAAAATTCTTTTGTATTTTTTTGTTTTTCTAAGCCACTGAAAAGCTGGAGCAAACAATTTATAATTGTTATTTTAGGGAGATTAACACATCAATCATTGACATGGTTTTTAAACGTGCCCTACCAATTATTACCATTTTAAAAATGGCATTAATTTTGAAGTTCTAAAAGCAGTTACTAATGATAATTAAAAAGAAGACCATGATTTTTATGCAGGACAATGCTCCATCACATGCATCGAAGAACTCCACTGCATGGCTAGCCAGTAAAGGCCTTAAAGATGAAAGAATAATGACATGGCCCCCTTCCTCATTTGATCTAAACCCTATTGAGAACTTGTGGGCCCTTCTTAAATGGGACATTTACAGTGAAGGAAAACAGTACATCTCTCTGAAGAGTGTCTGAGAGCCTGTGGTTTCTGCTGCACAAAAAGTTGATCAGCAACAGATCAAGAAACTGACAGACTCCATGATGGCTGTTATTGAAAAAAGGGTGGCTATATTGGTCACTGATTTTTTTTTAAATGTCAGAAATGTTTATTTGTACATTTTGAGTTGTTTATTATTCTTACATTAACAGATGCAAATAAATGAGTGAGATTGGGCAAATTTTCATTTTTCATTTAGTTGCATAATAATTCTGCACACTAATAGTTGCCCAATAATTGTGCACACATAGATATTCTAAGAAAGCCAAACCTCACCTTTACTTTCTTAAATATTCAGGTTTGAAGTTTATTAACATTTTGGATTGATCAAGAGCATTGTAGTTGTTCAATAATAAAAATAATCCTCCAAAATACCACTTGCCTAATAATTGTGTATGTCTCTGCAAGTCTGGCTGTTGTGTAGTTTCTATCATCATCACTACTTTGTTCTCTTAACAGTAGACCATATCTGAGAATGTCTCATAGTGTTGGGTGTTTAGATGGCAACAAGACTCTGCCAGTCCCAATTAGGCTGCTTATATGAGTGAATGTTTCCAGTCTTGTTCTTTTTTTAGAAGCCATTGCAGATCACTCTCACAGGAAATGAGATCAGCAGTATTAACACTCTCAGACCAAATAACATTTAACAAAAAGAGAATGACAGCTGAACCTGTGAAATGAAACACAAAATGTTAAAAAGTTATGATATTTATGTACTTATCAAGCTCATCTAAATTATATTGAAGTAACCAAAATATCTTTACAATCCCCAAGGCATGTACCAACTTTTGAGCACCTCTAATGTTGGAAATTGAAAGTTGAAAAAATTGACATGCCTTAGACTACCTTAGGGAGATGGGAGAGGCCCTGAGAAGGCTTCCTGTAAGTGTTTCCCTGCTCAGGGTCTGAAAATCCTTTGGGGATTCTGCAGGGAGGGTTTTCAGCTTCTGAACAGGGAGGCAGCATAGTAACATAAGAACCACAGGGTGCCCTCAGGGGAGTTGGGAGGCCCTAACAGGCTGCAAACTAGTATCTATCTGCTGAGGGGCTGAAAATTATGTGTAGATTTTGGCAGGAAGGATTTTTTAGTTTCTGAATGGAGATGGCCTGCACCAGACCTCCCAGGTACTTCCCCACCCTTCTGAGGCAACCTTCACTCTTTATCTTAGCTTTTACTTAATGACTTGTGAGATCACTTAACCACAACTGGGAGTGCAGAGCTTGTACTTGTTGACAGAAGCAGTCACATGAGATCTCAGTTAACAATGAAATGATTCTAATCCCAATTTTGGTTGTAAATTGAGAATCACCAGTATGATTGTTCCTTACCCAAGGGATATGCTCAGATTAGATTACCCTCTCCCCCCCAGGGTAGTCATCTTCAGTTTTAAAATAATTAGTTTAGACAATATGCTCATGTATTATTATTTTTTTCTTGTAAAAATAGTTGATGGGGGGATGCTTCCGGTTTGTCGGCTTCGCGAGCGGCAGGGATTTGCGAAGCTGCGCGATCCCTGCCGCGCTAGCCGTTTTTGGGGCTCCGATCCGGACGGGTACGGAGCTAGGCTGCCCTGCAGGGGCAGCTGAAGGTAGGGGGGATCCGGAGAGGGGTTTGGGGGTGTTGCAGACCCCCTCCCCGGCCGGCAGAACCCCCTCTTCCCAGGACGGTGCAGCGGCGGTCCGTAATGGCCGCCACAAAGAAGCTGGCAGCCGGGTAAGAATGCGCAGGAGGAAGTGGAGAAAGTTTTTCAAAGGAGAAAGTTTTTCTTGGTTCCTAGGACTCTAAGACATATTTAACAAAATTCCTGAAAAGTATGATTTTCTGAATGATACCTTCTAGAAGAGGAAAAAAGCGGCAGTTTGATGGTGCTGAAAGGAAAGCTTACCCTCTTTTCCTACGGAATAAATAAGTGGATATTAAGAAACCTATTTCTTTTAGGTGAAAACTGGTTTTAAGCGATGAGTGGGAAGAGAGAGGACTAAAAAAAAAAAAATATTTGTATGCTAAGACTTTGTTGGAGGAGATGCCTTAAGGATTTGAAGACTAAAATATATTGCAATAAGATTTTAAGAAATAGATTTGGACTTTCTTTTTCTTTGATTGATACTACCCCAGGAGGAGAAAGTGAGAACTCTGCCTTGGTTTGGACTGATTGATAACTTTGGGACTGTTTTATTTCTTCTTTGGAATATTCTGGTTGTTGTAAGAAGAAAGAAGGGGAAAAGAAAAGATTTATAATGGCTCTTTCTCTTGAGGAACTGAGAAAAGATTATGAACAAGCAAAAAAAAATGGTAAATCTGGTCTGAAAGAAGCCTTCCTTTTTTTAGAAATGGCGCTTATTAACTATCAACAAACATTACAACAGATGAAGACAGCAGAAGAAGAAGAAGGAGAGGAAGCCATTTTTAATAAATTTCAGAACTTGACCAAGAAAGAAGGAAGAGTGAAAGGAAGAGAAATAAAGGACTTAAGATTTAAAAAAACACTTAAGAAAGGGAAAAATAAGGTGCAAAATCAATATAATGATAGTAAACAAAAGGGAAAAGGAACACGACAGAGAAGGGAAGCCAGTGGGGCAGAGGCTGGAAGAAGGGGGGGTAGAAAGGTTTGCTGGGAGAAGAAAGAAAGGGAAAAGGTGGAGAAAAGCTACAAAGTTTTGAAATTAAATGGGAAAAAAGGAATTTTTTTTAGGGATAAAGGATAAAATATAATTTTTTCAAAAAGATTTTGCAAGGTACATAAGATGATATTGTAGTATGGTATTAGAAATAGAAAACTTAAACGGTTTAAGAGTTGATAAGAGATTAAAATGTTGAAATGTTTAATAATGATTGGTTTTAAAATTTAATAATATGATGGGAGGTTTAGAATATTGAGTTTTAATTAAAGAGTTTAATAAGATTATGGTATTGATGTTATTATAAAATTTCTACTATAGTATTTGTTTTTAATATTTAGATTTATTGTTTAACTATATATTTAATTACTTTGGATGTACTATTTAGATAGAATGTACCAAGCAAAATCGGATTGGGTATTGGGCGTTATTTTAAAGGTTAATTTGATTAATTTAGGGGGGAGATAGAAAGGCATCATACTCTGATTAGTGATTTCAGGAGAAACTTCTTTTTTTTTTTATAAGGAACGAGACAAAGGGACAATAAAGAATGGACAAAAGATACAAATATAATGACTCAAATTAAGATGATTAATTAAGATAGAATTAAGAAGAGTGAAATATGTGGAGAAGTTAATATAGAAAGCTTAGAATGGTAAATAAAATAAGTAATGATATGTAAGATGAGCATGAATATAATTGAAGTCCATGAAGAGAGAGATACCTGGGTCCAAGTTACTTTCCAAAAAGATCTTTTTTATGTTTTGTGTATATGTTTTTTTTTTGGGGGGGGGGGAGAATTAATAAAACCTTGCAGAAATATAGAATGAGAATAATGGTAACTAAGTCAGAAAGAAATAGATGAAATAATAATAATGAAATTGAATAAGAGTAAAGAGAAGTAAAGAGAAATTGGACAAGAGGTTTTTTGTATGTTTATATGGAAATGGTTTAAAACAGAATTATAGTTTATCTGACTTGTTAAATTTATAATGGAAAAAGGTTTAAACATGTAATGGATAATGATTTGTGTGTTTTGAAAACTAATAAAACTTGTTTTAAAAAAAAATAGTTGATGGGAAAATTATGACTATTGATAGGTAAATTATAACTATAATTACTATAATATATATTGTTGAAGCCTTTCTATACATCACCTATGGTTTAGTATTAGTTATAAAATGTAAGCACATGAAAGTGTACCTAATCGATGCACAATTGAAATGGAATGGATTTATTGTATATTAAAAAATTTAAAAAAATCTCTTGGATCTATGGTTTAGCCTTATGAATTGATTTGTCTGTTTAAATGTGGGTAGATTTTTGTGACTAAAATTTACCTGATTTGTTTCTGTAGGGTGTACCTCAGTTACCTTGTGCCAAAGCATTATATAACTATGAGGGAAAAGAGCCTGGAGATCTTAAATTCAACAAAGGTGACATCATCATATTACGTCGGCAAGTTGATGAAAATTGGTATCATGGAGAAGTTAATGGTATCCATGGATTTTTTCCTACCAATTTTGTCCAGATAATTAAACCATTACCTCAACCTCCACCTCAGTGCAAAGCACTTTATGACTTTGAAGTTAAGGACAAGGAAGCTGACAAGGATTGTTTACCCTTTTCAAAGGTAAAAATTTATAGATATGTTTTCATAGTCTCAGTAATGTTGAAATACTTGTTAGCCTACAAGATTATCATGAATCAAATGTTATTATTTTTCATCTTACTATTAACTTTTTCTGAAGCAAATCAAAGTTATATTAATTTTAAATTAAAAATATAATTTTAAATTATCTTGGAGAAATCGTATTTGAGCCTCATTTTCCATTTCCAAGATTAACACTCTATTGTGCATATTGATAATTCAAGATAAATTAGAATTTGTGATATGTTTTTTGTGAAATATGTAAATAAATATTTATAATACGTCCTTTGTCGTGTACCAGTGGTGAAATGCTACCGGTTCGGCTCAGATCAGCTGAACTGGTAGCAAAAAAAACCCTCCAACGATCAGCTGAGAGGATAAAGAAGAGAAAAGCACAGGATCGGCCCTCCCACCTGTCCCCCTGCGCTTTTCTGTTCTTTATCCTCTCAGCTGACTGGTGTGGCAGAGCCACAGCTGGTGTTTGGAAAGCTGCATGCGTGTGCATTAGGTGCACATGCGCACACACACGTGAAGTGCGGGATCACTGAACCGGTAGGAAACTGGTAGAATCCACCTCTGCTGTGTATAGTATATTTTGTGTAGGTAAACTATTAGCTTGCTTGCTAGAATTTTTTCATGGTCCAGGCATAGTTATACCATGAGCCTTTTAGAATCAATATTGTGTTGGGCCAGGTAGGCTTCTGATTTATTTATTTTGTGATCCTCCAAATATAATTTAAACAAAATACTCTCAGGAGCCTCATACAGTAAAACCAATGATAAATGATGCTGAGATATGAAAGCTAGCAATGTCTTAAAAGCCAGAATATCTGATTCTGTGTTTGAAGTTTTCTTAGTGTCTTTATTATGGACATTTCCTTGTTCATTAATCCCTAAGAATATTGCATGTACATACATTGAACAGTTGGTACCTAAGTGTTATAGCTACTCATAACAGCAACTGAGAACATATAACCTATTATAGAATTCAGATATACTGAGATCTGTACACTAATGCCAAAGAAAAAGCAGCTGAGTTGCTATTACTCAGCAATTATTTTATCTGATGATTGGTTAGCTCCTCGAATGCTTTTCAAATTCTTAATAATGGGAATATACTATTGTAAGAAATGTTCATCTGAGAATATGAAAGTTGACTTTTTAAAAATCCCAACAGTCTGAATGTCAGGAAAATAAAATAAAATGTTTAATTAGAACTTTCCTACCTTTTATTTTTTTCTTTTACATCCAGGATGATATTCTTACTGTAATTCGCCGTGTAGATGAAAATTGGGCTGAAGGAATGTTGGCTGACAAAATTGGAATATTTCCTATTTCATATGTTGAGGTGAAAGAATCTTAAGTTTCTTTATTGTTGAATTAATGTGAATACACACACAAACACACTTTATCCTAAATTTCTTTTACTTTGGGCTGCATAAATGAATAGAAAATTTCTAGACATTAATCAAATAACACATTTTTTTTAGCAAATTGAATCATTTATTATTTATTTAGCGTATAATGAGAACATGACAGATGAGAGAATGTGATGCTAGTTCACCTCGTGGTGCACCCTGGATAGCATGGTAGTGTGAACCAAATAACTAGCAACAATTGGCAGCCAGACTACATTGAAAATTGGCAGTTTAACGACAGATGGCAGCCAGACTTGTAGAACTGCTGGCTCTCTAAATACATGGCAACGGATATCAGATGCTGAGCCTAACAGCACATCTTGAGGCTGGTTTCCAGCAAGGCTTAAAAACTATAGCTGTGTTCATTGACCTTACTGCAGCATATGATATCGTATGGAAGAAGGGTCAAACTGAGTCACATCATCCCCTGTAAAATCCTCTGTCACCTAAAAACTACATGCTCAATGATAGATCCTTGCAGATCATTATGGGGGACAACTCGGAACAAGATCCATACCTAACATGGTGTCCGCCAGACTCATTGTTTAAGTGGGGTCTTGTCTCTACCCCTCAGTGTGACTCTGGTGCTCCTCGACAAAATATCCATCACATTGTGTCCAAATGTCCATCAAGAGCTTTCACTGGCCCAATGTCTGATATCTTCCATATGGATCACCCTGTCCTTGAATGGCAGGGTGGACTGGACATTTACATTTGAAATACTAGAAGTCCATGTATTTGCCATACACTAAATAAATAAATGACAGATGAGAAGTAAACATATATGCAATCCATGTAATTATGTACAAAACTTCTACTGGAATATGGCAGTGACTTCATAACTGGATGTCTAATTCAGCTATCCAGGTGATCATCTTTGGCATTGCTTTGTGCAGATCTTCTAAGGAACCAGAGAATGCATGTTGTGCGCAATCTTTCACAATATATTTAATAGTTAAGGAGAATCTTTCCATCCATACAGGGCAGAGGCACTTCTTCCAGTATCACATCTAATTCTGTTCAGTTTTGTTCAGAGCGAGGCAGATCAAAACAAGATAGCATTCTTTCCAGAGTCTCATCATTTTTTTTTATTGTGGTGACCAAAACTTGCAGTATTCCAAGTGTCATCTTGCCAAGGCCTTATAAAGCTATGTTGGAGAAGGAGGGCAGGCCACTTGTATCTGGGCTTTATGGCTGTCTCCCGGAAGAGGCCACCATTTTCTGCATTCCCACATTTCCTTGTGTCACACTGAAATAGACAGCTTCTGGGAGGCTGTCATGTGACTCAGAGTTGAACTATTCTATTTTGCTTCCCTAAAGCGGTCTGTACAGCACTGAGAAAAAGCTCTGGAGATCTTCAAAAAGTAACTGTGCAATCAGTGAGTGGTTGGGGAGAAGACCCAAGCACTATGGGGATCCCAAGGAGCATGGGTATGTCAAGGGAGGCCTTGGGAGTCCCAGGCAGGATAGCCTAGGCCTCCCAGGTCTTTTCCCATCCCTGAAGAACCATGTGCTTTGTTTAGTGACCCACACATTCATTTAACAGGGAGTAGGAGTTGTAAAACAAGGCCATCTCACTTAAAGGCCATCACTACCTGCAACCATAACGGGCAGTCTTTATTACAATCGTAGATTGATTACTAAAGTTCATACGGGTTGATTATGTATTAAAATTAAACAGCGTCTCTCTGAAGAAACAGAGATCAAGCCTAAGCTCTATCAATGAACTGCCCTTAGCTTCTTATCAAGAAATCAAATCTCAGTTATCTATATGACAGACATATATGCTCACCTCTTTATCAGGAAAAAGTAAAAGACTAAAACTGATTACTAGTAACATTTGAATATTAACAAGTTTGCACAGTAATTTTCAATATTCAGATTATTTTAAACTTTTAATCACATGTCATAATAAATACAGAATATTTATGAAGTTGGCTAAATTCCTAGGAAGTGAATTGTTTAGAACTATATTCAGTTCAACATAGATAATTTGGCCAGTGTTATTCCTGCTATAATGAATGTTCGTAATAGTGCTCTTTAAATAAGATTTAATGTTTTCACCTTAGTTTAAATTACAGTATTCACATCCTTAGCAAAAGTTCCAACCAAATTATGGGTTAGAAAAGCTTACCTTTATCTTTTTGTGCAGTAGCTTGCCCAGTCACAATGAAAACAACATGAGACATGGTTTCTCTGTGCAGTTCTGATTTTTCAGAAATTTGATCTTATTTATTTATTTTAATAAACTTTATTGTTCTTTTACATTTTTTTAAATTAATCATAATATTAACAGTACTGTAGCATCAGTATTATACATATTTATCTCTTATGCATATTTACATTTATATACATTGTTATACGATTATATACATTTGTCTATAGTTTGCTTATCTTAAGTTTCTTTATTTTCTATTTACCTAGTTTCCAGCCAATTATACCATATATCCAAAATTTTATGATATTCAGACTCTTCTTTATTTTTTAGTTTTAGGGTCAATTTGTCCATTTCAGCGCAATCCAAATTTTTTTGAATTACCAGTTCATCAGGGGGGATGTTGTTATGTTTTCAACATTGTGCGTACGATATTCTAGTCGCTGTTAATATGTGTAATAAATATATTTAATCCTTTTCTCATGTTTCTTTCTAAATATTCCTAGCATAAATAATTTCAGTTCAATTTCTTGTAACCATTGCCTTATTTTGGTCCAATACCTTTGAGCTTCTGAACAGGACCACCACATTTGGTAGAAAGTACCTTGTGTCTTTTTACACTTCCAGCATGCTGGATTCATGTTGGGATACATTTAAATTAAAGCTGCTGCCTTAGTGTAAAGCTCCCAATCTGGAGTCCAAAGCCACCTATGCTTCTACTGTCCTGCAGCGCTTTTATTTTTATTCTGTGTTTTTTCTCTGGCCATATGAATTTAGCCGTAATTTTGTTCATCTCTGTAAAAAAAATTTCTCTAATTTTATGGGGATTGTTTGGAAAAAATACAAAAATTTAGGTAAAATAGTCATTTTAATCGCCACAATTCTCCCTAATAGTGATAATTGTAACTTCCTCCATAGTTCCAGATCTATCTTTGTTTGTTGTAGGAGTTTCATATAATTATTTTCTTTTATTGTTGTACATTTTGCAGTTAACCATATATTTAAATACTTAATTTTCTTTGTCGTTTGAAGCCCATTACTCTTTCTAATTCTTTTTTCTGGTGTTCTGTCAAATTCTTAGTCAACATTTTAGTTTTTTGTCTATTAATTTTAAGGCCTGATACTTCCCCACATTTTTCCAATTCATTAATTAACATGCTTCCTGTCTCTATAAGACCTTCAATAAAAAATACCAGGTCATCAGCAAAAGCCTGGAGTTTATACTCCTCCTTTTTAACTCTAGTTCCTTTTATATCCATATTTTGTCTAATTCATATTAATAGGCTTTCTAGCAACAGAATGAAAAGCAGAGGGGACAGTGGACAGCCCTGCCTCACTCCTTTCATTATTTTGAAGGTCTCCGTATTTTTACCTTTTAGTACAGGGGTCGCCAACCGGTGAGCCATGAGAAAATTTTGGTGGGCCGCAGCGAAATCTCACTCCCAGAGCACCCCCCAAAGCAATTAATCCAGGCTGCGCAGAAACACAAGGCTGCGCCGCCCACATGGCCCGCGGGAACCCTCCCCGCCACTCACTCCTTACCCGGCAAACTTGCCTGCTAAATTGCTATTTTTCCTTTTTCTGACCATCAGCTGTTCTGCTGTGCCCGGAGATTTAGACTAGCTAGAAAGCAGGAAATGGTTGGATTTCTTGCTTTCTAGCTAGTCTTTAGATCTTCTGCTCTTCTTTTAAGCACAGCTGAACCTCCCTTAGAACTGAAGGTTCTATTATTCAGTGCAGACTCACAGCAAGCAAAGTTCATGTGACAGACTGAGCTAGCTGATGGCAGATAGATCACTGAATGATTCTGTGAGCAACTCAATCTGCCTGCCTGCTTTGGCTAATTTTGGGTAAAAGTTGCTTTTTTTTTAAATAAAAAATCCAATATTTGCATAGATGGTGTGTTGTGAGTTAATTTTGTGAGCTTGCTTGCTAGCAAATTTTATGAGTTTGCTTGCAAGCAAATTTTATGTGACAGACTGAGCTAGCCAATGGCAGATAGATAGATCTCTGAATGAATCTGTGATTCTGTGAGCAACTCAATTTGCCTGCTTGCTTTGCCTGATTTTGGGTAACAGTTGCTCTTTTTTATAAAAAAATCAATATTTATATAAATATTTATAATATTTACATACAAGCCATGCCCAGCCAGTCACATGACCACCAAGCCACACCCACAAATTAGGCCAAGCCCACAGAACCGGTTAGTGGTCCCTGGGATTTAAAATTATGGGTTTGGTGGTCCCTGAGGTCCAAAAAGTTGGCGACCCCTGATTTAGTAAGATGTTCGCCTTTTGAGTGGAATATATTGTCTTTATTATATTATCAAATTTATCACCTAAATCCATGTTTTTAATTTGTTGCATCATAAATTGCCAATTTAGATTGTCGAACTCCTTCTGCGCATCCAGAAAAACAAGTGCCACTTATTTCTCTGGATGTGCCTCATAGTATTCCAAAATATGCAACACTATCCTTGTATTGTTCCTAATTTGCCTTGATGGAAGAAATCCGTTTTGGTCGGGGTGAATATATTCATTTAATATTCTTTTCAATCTGTCTGCTATTATAATTGTAAATATTTTATAATTGGCGTTCAGCAATGATATTTTATAATATCATTATATATATATATTATAAAATTATATTCTATAATTTTGTATTTGTCTACTATCAGTACCCTCCCTTGGTATTAGTGAAATGTATGCTTCCCTCTATGAATCCGGCATTTTGGCTTCTGTCAGTACCTCATTGTACAATTCTAACATTAATGTTTCTATCTGTTCACCCATCATCTTGTACATTTCTAAATATAATGAATTACAAAACATTCAGGATTGATAAAAAAAATAAAAATGCACAATATGTAATTACAATGGAATTAATACAGTTTTTCTTTTAATCAAATTATAGGGTTGATATTTATGGTTATTGTCTTGCAGTTTAACTCAACAGCAAAACAACTTATTGAACTAGACAAACCATCAGTTTCTACAATAGATTCTGGAGAAGGCACTTCTGGTACATCCCATTGCAATTCAGTTCAAAAGCATACTGATGTAAAGAAGAACACAAAAAAACGCCATTCTTTTACTTCCCTTACCATGTCCAATAAGGCTTCACAGTCTTCTCAAAATCGTCATTCAGTGGAAATCAGCCCTCCTGTTCTCATCAGCTCCAGTAATCCAACTGCTGCAGCACGGATAACTGAGCTTTCAGGCCTTTCTTGTAGTGCACCTTCTCAGGTAATTACAAGTGGAAATCAAGGTATATCATAGTTTTTTAATGACAATTTAAAATATTGCCAAAATAAATGGGATATGATTCTTAGTCATCCAAGTCATAGATGTCCCAACGGTGCTTTTTCAAGAGGCAACTGGACTTTCTTGTTTTTCTTTGAAGATGTTTCGCTTTTCATCCAAGAAGCTTCTTCAGCTCTGACTGGATGGTGGTGAATGGAAGGATTTATAGTACTCCTTGCAGACAGCTGGTCATTTGCATTCTTTTAGAGAGTCATTGAGGTTTATGTACGTCATCAGGGCCACTTAAGTAGTGCAAATGTGTGTGGAACCTTTTTGGAACTTTTTTTTTAATGTGTATGTGTTTGTTCGTTTATTTTAATTGTATAATAAATAAACTTTGCTTTAAAAAAAGAAAGACTGTGTTGTAGACTGGAGATAGATGATGTCGTATCCCCCCCTCTGTTGAGAGAAGGCTGTTCAGTTTTGACATAGATGGCCTCTTTGACCCCTCTTTCAAACAAGTGGTCCTCTCTGTCCAAAATGTGGACTGTGCTGTCTTCAAAAGAGTGGCCTTTGTCTTTTAAATGCAGATGGATTGCTGAATCCTGGTGGGTTTGTTCTCCTATGTTGTACATTGGGAAAACAAAGCAACCACTTAATAAACACATGGCACAAAATAAGAGAACAAACCCATCAGGACAGAGCTGAAGAAGCTTCTTGAATAAGAAGTGAAACGTCTTCAAAGAAAAACAAGAAAGTCCAAAAACAAGAAAGTTGAAAAAGCACTTTTGGCACAGCTGTTCTTGCTTTTTACATAAGGTTTTTTCCTCAGTTTAAATAGGTTATCTTTTACATGTTTTCTAGCTAAAGTTTAAAATAGTTTTAATACTAAAGTAAATGACATTTAAATAATGTTGGTTACTTTAAAATTTTGTGATTAATATCTTCCAAATATAAACAGATTGGAATGATTGTTTGCCCTTCCCAAATTGAAAATTGGAGGAGCATTTGGGTACAGATAGTCCTTGACTTACAACTGTAATGAAGCCCACTCATAGTAATAAGTCATGACAGTCATAAAGCGGATGACCAATGCAGTTTTTCAACTTTGTTGAAGCTTGCTAAAAATGCTATTTGAAAGTGATACCCAGTTAACATTGCAATCTAGTACACAGTTTGTTTATTCAGTATAAAATTAAGCATTAAAAATTCAAACATTAAAATTACCAAAATGGATAAAAGGACCATTTTTATTATTATGTATTAATAATATTAATAAATCTCATAAAGAAACCTAAAATATATTAACAATAACATTTATTTGTATTGCACATTTGTACTTAAAAATGAAATGCATATAAATTTAAGACCAGAAATATTTTATATTAAATATAAAACTAATATTTTGTTGTAAAAGTATTTCACTTCGTTCACTTACAGAATGAATGGATTTTCTGGATTGGACATTAATTATGTTTAATGTATGTGCCGTTAATAGGTTCACATTAGTACCACAGGATTAATTGTAACCCCACCACCCAGCAGTCCAGTAACAACAGGACATTCATTTACCTTTCCACCTGAAGTCACTTACCAAGCTGCTTTTGCTGTGAGTATAAGTATCATTTCACAGAGAATAGTAGTTACAGAATTTTATCTCACTTGACACTTTCTGTTTAAATTGTAGAAATTACATCTTCTGTACTTATGGTGGTACTGCAGTACTCATAGTTAATTGGTGGAGTACCAAAACTATGAGTACTAAACAAATTTTTCCCATAAGGAATAATGTAGTGAATCACAAGGCAGCTGACACTGACAAATTCTAGCTTGTTCATTGAGTACCAAACAAATGATGGGTACTGGGACAAAATTTTCACCTCAGAACACATTGAATACCAAATTTGATGAATTTCAAAGCAGTTGAGTACCAAGGCACCACTGTATTATGTTCATTGATGGAAAAATAAAGTGTCAAAATTATATTTGGTCATTCCAACACAAGGAAATTTAAGAATTCATATGCCTTCACCCTACTACTTCATGTATAGCACTTGTTATGTATTAAGGAAAGTGGTGGTAATGGCCAAGTATTCATGCTATATTGCATGATTGCTACATAGGCACAAGACTATACCCAAATCCAACAGGTATAAAAAAATATTTCCATGTTGGATCCAAATCATTGATTATTTTAGATTTGAATTCTGCATACCTTTAACCAATTGTATTCCATTTAGTGAAAAATGGAAGGATATGAGCTTTAAAAATGACTGACAAAAAGAAGAATTTAACAACTAGCTATCACACACATGTATACAATGTCACAAACATAACAGGGATAAAAGTCTACCACCTCAGCCCACCATACTTTATCCAAGTATGGCTTGTGAGGATGCAGCAAAGTAAGGTTATTGGTGGGCGTAGGTCAGTTCTAGAGTATATGTGTTGTGCATGCCAGTGAATATTATATCTGAATATTGGTGCTAAAATTTAAATTCACTTTTAAAATATTTTATTTTTAGAGTATTAATCCACCTGTCCCACCACCCCCACCACCTGTCTTATCTGCTGCAATAATTGCCTCTAATCCTACGTGCCTGCCTTTGGGGTCAATTCAGAAGTCAACATCTGCATTGACCGAGCAAATATCACATTTGAGAGCACAGACAAGACCAAGTGTGTAAGTGAAACTAGAACTTATTGGCAAATAATGGAAAGGATTATTAAAAATTGCCAAAGTAATGAATTGAAATTGTTTGACTTTTCATTTGGTGTCTTTAAGAAAAAGCCACAAGACATGTTTGGTTTTGATATATTGCAATTTTTATTACCTTCTCAGACTTATTACTGATAGTATTTAAGTAAAGTTTCCTTCATTTTAATATAATTTGGTGATTTCATGAATATCTTGGTATAATTTTCTCATTAAAAATATGGGAGTGGTTTCCCATTATTATTTTTTTCCTAGATGCTTTCTGATTCCCTAGGTATATTTTGTTGTGGCCTCTTTCTAAGCACTAATCAGCTCCAACTTTTTAAGATCAGGCAAGGTCACTTAAGTGCTGCTATCTAATCAGGCAACAGTATCCTATAGTTTTGTAAATTGTATTCTTTAAAAAAAGAAGAGTTAAATAAGTCTATGAAAACACTAAATTGTGAAGTAGTATAAGCAAGAGTAAATTGCTGGTTAATATTAGAAATGATGCACATCCTTAGTAAATTTATATAAAATTTCAATGAAGTGCAATTTTTTAAATTATAATACATTTTGGCTCAAACTCAAAATTTGCAGATTATTCTACATGCCTTCTTGCCCATGCATTAATAGATAATTCATACATAAAAGCCTCTCTTTTAAAAAAAAAAACCCAAAAGTACTTCAATAGCTCCTGAAATAAAGGCAGCACTTCTTTTTGCCTGCAACTTAGATTACCAGCAGTAAGTAACTGTTCAAACAAGTTTTTGAGATGTGTAATTAGAAAAAAGTATAACAGTAGTGATTATACTTACTGTCACTAGTTATTGGACATTTGAAAAAGTAAAACTTTAAGAAACTCCTTGGGAGGGATAAACAGTTTTGGAGAGAACATTTTATATATCTCTTTTTGATTATAGTAATTTATGTGATTGAAATATCTCTGACTATAGAGAGGAGCAACTTTTCATGCTGAACTAAACCAACACATTTTATTTTCAAGCAGAAAAGATTCTATAAAATATGCAAATTGCAACATTTGAAATTAAAATAAAGACATAAAACAAACAGATATTTCGACGTTCTGTTCCTTAGCTTGCAGTTCATTAAGAATGCTTCCTTTTCTAGGTATATTGCTATTTATCCATACACTCCTAGAAAAGAAGATGAACTGGAATTGAGAAAAGGTGAAATGTTTTTGGTGTTTGAACGTTGTCAGGATGGCTGGTTTAAAGGAACTTCCATGCATACCAGCAAAATTGGTGTATTCCCTGGAAATTATGTGGCACCAGTTACAAGGTATGATGTTCAATCAGTTATACTTCAACAAATTTCAGAAATAAAATGTTTTGAAAATTTGTATATAATGGGACTGAATGATCTATTTAACAAGAAGCATAATGTTTACATTGTTTTTAATAGGCCAATGACAAGTGCCTCCCAAGCAAAAATACCTGTATCTACTGCTGGCCAGACAGGGCGAGTAGTGACCATGGTCAATGCTTCCACTGCTGGAGGAACAGTGCAAAAACTTCAGGGAAATGGTGTGACAGTGACTTCTGATACAATACCAACAGTCTCTGCTGCACATATACAAAAAAGTCCACAATCCAAGATCATTATGCATATGTCCAGTCAAATGACATTGAATCAAGCTCGCAATGCAGTTAGAACAGGTAAAATAATTTGTTTCTTGACATAGGCAATATACATATAAAGAATGCCCTGCAGCTTGATAAATCTTAACATTTATAGAGGAAAGAGGGTGCAGCAAATATGGTGTACTTGATTTACAATAGTTTGTTTAGTGACTGTTCAGAGTTACAATGGCACTGAAAACAGAGATTTATGACCGTTTTTCACACTTATGATAGTTTTAGCATCCCCACGTGGTCATGTGATTTACATTTGGATGTTTGACAACTGACTCACATTTATGACAGTTGCAGTGTCCCAAAGTCATATGATCTTTTTTGTGAACTTCTGACAAGCAAAATCAATGGGGAAATCAGATTCACTTAACAACCATATTACTAATTTAACAACTGCAGTGATTCATGTAACAAATGGGGCAAAATTCACTTAACAACATGAATTTTGGACTCAGTTGTGGTCGTAAGTTGAGGACTAACTGTATTTAGTATTTGTGGAGATAATATACAGATTTACTTGGTGACCTTGGCTGAGTTATATTTCAAGGGTAACATTGTTTTTTCATACATATTGTAGGTTTTAAAAGAGTGGAATATAAATATACGGCTAATATGTCACAATCTGAAAATATATTCTTTTTCATTAGCCGAACTATTTCCTTTGTCATTACAGTTGCAATTCATAGCCAAGAAAGACCGACAGCCACTGTAACACCAATTCAAACTCAGAATTCAGCATGCCTTATTCCTGCTGCTGTGATTATTCCACACCATCCTGTTGCCTCCCAACAGCTACAACCTCAATTTTCAAATGCTGCTGCTTATATCACAGCTGTAAATATCAACCGAGCAAATGTCCCATTGGCTTGCACAACTCCTTCATTAAGTTCTCCTAGCACTTCTGTATCGGTAGATGGAGATTCAAGTGGGAAAATTGTGACTGTTCATACGGGAGCTCCAGCTTCCCCAGAGAATACATTGACTGCTGGAGGTACTCCTGTTATGAGTAAAACAGAGAGAGATGGAAAGGTAGGCATAGTGTTTTTGTTCTTTATGATCTCGGTGTTGACCTTGAAAACCCAAACAGGTCTAAATCTAGTTAATGTTTGAATGGGAAATTGTGAGAAATTACTTCATGGTAATACTTCCATATTTTTACCAAAAATGTCATGGACATCTACAAAATCATTAGGAGTCAAGCTCCATGCAGGTACTTTTTATGTCCTCTGCAGAATCCTTCAATCTTCCCACAGGAGAGTTCTCTGTTAATTACTTGTCTATTAATCTTAGAAAAAATAATTGCCTTTATTTTCAACTATTTTTGATTAGGTATAATATTACCATTTGAAACAATGTCTTTGGTATGACATAGTGGCAGATTCAACATTTATTAATAGTAAACCTGTATAATAATTAGATATATGTTCCCTAATCAGTTGTAATTTCAGTTGTAATTTCTAAATTTGCTTTCTAAAATTACATTAAGTTTTCCAATAATCAGAAAATCTTAGATTATAGTAGCTTCTTTTAATAGCCACCTTTTATTTTCAAAGTACTGCAGATGTAGAATGGCTGTTGATGGATCATTATTGGAATATATATTTCAGGGCTTTGTAGTTGACCCAAGTTGTAAACAAAGAAGACACTGCATGCTTTAATATTTTTTTCCATTTCTGTATGCAATATAGCATTTTGGTTCCCTGAAGCAATGATGCCACTAACTTTGTTATGCTGTTTTAAACATTTTAGGAGATATTTTGTATGTATGATAAGTGCACTAGAAATGCTTTTTCAATAATAAAGTGATACTCAAATATAATATCAGTTGAAGAGAAAATCAGAAAAGTCTAGGATAATGTTTCAATAATTTCATCGAAGTTTAAAAATAGAAAGAAAAACTAATAGAAACTGAAAAATAATACCAAAAAAGAAAAGAAGGTAGAGAAAAAAAATATGTAAAAGGAAAAATATATAAATAAATAACTTCCCTTTTCATCAAGAAATGTAAAAACAATTTTAATAACTTGTGACCTTCTCCAACATTTCATTAAGTCCTCTTCATCATACAGTATATCTATTAGCAAATAATAAAGCCTTAAATCTAAATCAGCAAAAAGCAATTAAGAACTACCAAAAGTAATTGTATGTATTTTAATCTTAAACAAATGAATCAATGTCATATTCTTTTAATTTACTTTATACAGTAACATCATTTTGTCTAAAAATACAAAAGGTTTTCATATCTTAAATCGTTAAAGTCTCATCATTCAATCAGAAAAGTTTCAATGAAAATCTATCAGAAACAATAATGTTAGAATTTAATCCTATCAAATAAGGTATCACAAATTAATTTCTTATCATATTCTCTACATCTTCCTTAGAAATGTCTTTGCAAATTTAATGCTTTTTTCAATCTCAAAACTATAGGTTATCACTTTCTCTAAAGTACAAAAAAATATTCACGTATCTTTTCTACAAACAAATCTTTAAGGTCTCATCATTCAGTCTTGGTTGAAAAAAATCCAATAAAGGCTGCTAGAAAAAAATCATATATATTTTAATCTTGGTTGAATTAACAATCTTTATAAAAATTCTTTTCATTTTTAAATTTTTGAAGTTTATTATTTTTGAGTAGTGTCCCAGGTTCAGATTTCTTGTTATTCTCCCTTTATCTTTTTAAAGGTAGTTTTTCATTGGTAATAACATATCTCATTTGTACATCAAAAATAAGAAAGTTGTCCAAAGTCATCCAAGTAAAGAGTTACTTGGAGTTCTGATTTATTATTTGTGTGTCCCTTTTAGCCATTAAAACATCAACTGGTTTCAATTGGAGATCCTGTATAATATCTTTGTAAATATTATTCTTGTATCTTGTAAATTTTAAATCCATATCCAAAACAGCCTGATTCTCAGTTTTATCCTCCTTTTGTGAACCAATGTTTATAGTAATCTAGAAAGAAAATTCTGAGTTCATTGTTGCCAAATATCCTTGAATTTAAACTACTTTTCTCCTTTATTAGGGGCTCTTCTTTAATTATAATGTTTAGTTCTTTCTGGTGGTGTCTAGTAACCAGCTTTCAAGGTCTACCTCTTATCATTTTTTTTTCTAATTTACGATATTTTCCCAGGGAAATATTTCTTATACTTAGATTAAAAATCATATATTTTAATAGAATTTTAAACTGCAGGAAATATTCTTATAACATTTATAAAGCACTAAATAAAAATTATTTCATAATCTTATTTCCAGTCAATCTCAATTCTCAGTCAGTTAAATTAATGTTCTAAACACCCTTATTTCCAAATAACAAATCTTAAACTTACAGGAAACTTCTTTCATTGAAAATTTCTCCATGTAATAAAACTTGTTCTCTGAAGGTTCTTAATATTTAAAAAGCTATTTACAAGCTATTTACAGTGAAATTGATTAAGAAAGTGCCTCTTTGAAAGCTCCAAATTGCTAACTCTCATGGAATTCCCAGAAAATGGGGACGCCTGGACAAGACTTCAGGGCTTGCAAAAGGCCAATAGGGTTGGGGTCATCCTGATAGCTTGAAGGGGCTATAGCAGAGAACGCACATCTCCTGGCTCCTGCCAACCAGCATTCTTGGCTGACAGGACCCACAACATGCCCAAACTGCCTGACTGAATTGGATGGCTAGAAACAACTGGAAGAAAACGGTCACTTAGATAACCTTGCCCCAAGCTATGCAGGGCTTTAAAGGTGATAACCAACACCTTGAATTACACCCAGAAACATATTGGCAACCAATGCAGCTCACAAAGCAGTGATGTTACATGTGTCAAATATCCAACACTCTTTACTACCCATGCAAACACATTCTGCACCAGTTGAAGCTTCTGAATTTTCTTCTAGGGAAGCCTTATGTACGGCACATTGAAGTAATCCAGGTGAAACGTCACAGGGCCATGTGTAAGCAAACTTATGTCCCCTTAGACGCCAAGGTATAAATTCTTGGTCCTGTAAGCCAAGAATTTGTTATACTATATGATATATTGTATATATGGGGACCATTTTTGCTTAAATTTGATTAAAATTATGGTGTGAATGTATACTGTTAATTTTGACATTGCTATGCATTCCCCAAATTTAAGCTTCCATATCTTAGTGGCTTTTATTTCATTTTTAATCTGTATTATGGATTTTTTTCCATTAATGTTTAGTATTAATGTACTATATGTGTTTGAACTTAAGCTCTGGGTTGCACAAATGCTATTTGTATTTAAGTAAAAATTATCCCCTTAGAAATAATGACTAATGAAAGTTTTCAATAAATGTAAAATAATTTGTGGAAATTATAACCTCACTTCCCTTGCAGGATAATCCTAAGGATTGCAGGTCTGTAATTTATATGGTTTATAGCTGTTAGTAGTACACTGAGATTAATTTCTTGAAAAAAATATTCCCAAATAGTTTCACTGTATCACACCACCACTCCACATGCTTTGTTGTCCCGATGTATGTGAAGCACTTTAAATGTATATTTTATTTATTTATTAAATTTATATGCTGCCAATCTTACTGTTGAAGATACCCTCAGTAGCTTCAAGTACAATACTGTTTACTCGATTGCCAAATGTAAAATTCCACATTCATATTTCCTTTTTAAAAAAATTCTATTTTATAGAAAGAAAAAAAAGGGTTGCTAAAGTTACTTTCAGGAGCATCTACTAAGCGTAAACTTAGAGCATCACCACCATCATCCCCAACTCTCGAAGTTGAGCTGGCAACTACAGAACTCTCCCTTCAGGGTGCTGTAGGGCCAGAAATTCCATCAATTTCTGGTCAAGGAAGAGCAGACACTTGCTCCGTGGACAGTGAATCCCCTACAATAGTGCTGGAGAATACTCACTGCAAAACGAGTTCTTTGGATTCTAATATACCTGTAGTTCCTCCTCCAAGACAACCATGCTCATCATTGGCTCCAGTGTCAAATGAATCCAGATCTGTAATCTATGAACGGTAAGTCATTTTCCTGGATAAAAAAGTGTTCTTACATTTCATCAAGAATTGCTAATTATTAAAAATGATGGAAGAAATTTTATATTAATATTCTCCTTGAATTGTATTCTGTTTGAGATGTTCATTTATTTCTAATATATTATATAAACAGGCAGTTGCTTCTAATATATTGCTTGTTGGATGGTGATCTGATTAGGGGACTAGAGGCTAAAGTATACAATATGAAGAATGGTTGTAAGAATTGGGTACGCTTAGTTTAATGAAAAAGATTAGGGGTGATACGATAGCAGTGTTTTAATATCTAAAGGGTTGCTACAAAGAAGAGGGTGTTAACTTATTATTCTCCAAAGTACCTGAAGTGAGAACATTGTGTGGAAATAATCAAGGAAAGAACCAACCTAATTAGAACAATTAAGCAGTGGAATCAGAGGTGGTCTTCAGCAGGTTCTGACTAGTTCTGGAGAACCAGTAGCAGAAATTTTGAGTAGTTTGGAGAACCGGCAATTACCACCTCTGACTGGAGATTTTACAGTATCCTTCCCCTGCCATACCCATCAAGCCACAGAACCGGTAGTAAAAACATTTGAATCCCACCACTGAGTGGAACGGGTTGCCTTCAGAAATTGTGGGTGCTCTATCACTGAAGGTTTTTAAGAGACCAGACAACCATTTGTCTGAAGTGACATAAGGTTTCCTGCTTGGACTACAAGACTTCCAAGGTTTTTTCCAATTCCAATCTATGAAACTGGATATTGAGGGGAGTTTTATGGCTGGCATAAAAGGAAGAATAATTCCCTTTATTAAAGAATTTTTTTGTTACACTGCATACTTTCAAGGAAAAAATATCAAGCATAGCACAAATTATCCCAAATTCCTGATGGAATTTGCTGCAGATTCCTATTGGAATCTAAACTGATATGGTGAAAACTGAATTACAAAATGAAAATTAATAATGAAATTTACAAAATATACAAAATGAAAATGATAATAACCAGAAGAGATACAATGCACATGTTGTCTGTTCTTATTAATTCTGAATTTATAGTTTATAGTTTGTTTATAATTATAAATAGTTCAAATAAGCTTTCTGATTCTTCTGCCTTTTTTTCTAAACAGTGGAAGTATAAATGTTTTTAAAAAATCTCATTCTACAGATACAGAGTAGTGGTATCCTACCCTCCTCAGAGTGAAGCTGAACTTGAACTTAAAGAAGGAGATGTTGTTTTTGTTCATAAAAAACATGAAGATGGCTGGTTCAAAGGCACATTGCAGCGAAATGGAAAAACTGGCCTTTTTCCTGGAAGCTTTGTGGAGAGTATCTGAGAAAACTAATTTGAAACATTTCAACTCTCACAGCACTATAGAACAAAGAGATTGCAGCCACGGAAGGCTGGAGCATAAACAAATTTATATTTATGTTTTTCAGTATCCTTACAGCACAATTCTGGCAGCAAAGATTAAAATAGTTGCTTTTTATCATTTTGAATTATTGAGTGTAACGTGTGCCTTGTAATGTCTCATTTATTCTTCAGAGGATTTTAAAATGTGTGTGTGTATACACATACATATGATAAAAGGTTATTGTTTACAAGGCTGTAACTAATTTATTCATTTTTCTAAACTTGAATTCTGTTTAATAGCTAAAGTTGGGTGATTATGATTAACAAGTTATTTATAAGATAAGGAGAAGCTGGATTCTTTTCTTACAAAAAGATATAATGTCAGATGGCTTTTTCCAACAGTGGGTGACAGTGAAGTAAGTTTTTTTAATGGGTTAATGTTGGCTATAATGATGGTGATGTGATATCAGATTGAATCATGCACACTGGGGTAAAATGACATTGTGGATTTGTTTTATTTAGGGTGAGAAATTATCTGTCAATAACAAGTCTTAATGTCTCAGATAGAAACATTTCTGATGAAACATTTGTAAAAGGCAATTAAACAGCTATGTAGCATTGTTAACATTTTTCAAAGTGAGAATAGAATATATAAAATATACCAGAAATTGGGAACATCAACTTCCACTAGCATCTATTTGTCGAGTGTTTTTGGATATGTGTTTTCCTTTGTAGATTTGTCTAGTTCTTTGAGTCCATAACATAGAGAATGTAAATGAGTTAAGATAGATTTAATGCAAAACAACTGGAAGAATGGAAAATAATTGTGATAATTGATAGAATCAAAATTTAAATTCGGGTTGCACTCACTGTCTAAATATGCCAATAAATGTTCGCTTCTTTACATTTTCAAACTGATTTGCATGGCTGAGACAAATTACCTTGTTTGAGCAATAGTGGTGGTAAGTGATATACTTGTGTTTTTAAAGTAAAGGCTGTAAGAACACTGTGAAATTTTTGCTAATTTTGAAACTGTTGCTATTTTTATATGTCTTGAGTTGTCAATGTCTTGCATGCATTATCACATTCATACAGGTATACAAAACAGCGCATGACTGACTATAGAGTTTATTATACTGTACCGCTATGATGAACTGGATGTTAAATAACCAGTTACCTGCTAGTGTGAAAACCACTGACCAAAAACTAGTGAGTAATTGGATGCTACTGTATAAAGAATATTCTCACTATTCAGCATAATTCCAGCCATGGATATTTTAAAGCACAAGAGTTTTGTGGAGCATATTCTCTACTTAATTTCAGACTTTGAAGAAGATTCAAATATTCAGTTTCCCCTCTCATTATTTTTGCATTCTTAGTTTGGAAATAAATGTTCTAAGGAAGGAAAACTGCCATTTAACTTTTTTTTATCCTTTGCTGAATATCCTCTGCTGAGAAGCTATTCCCTCCTAAACAATGAATGTTACCAATTATAAACCAATGAACATTACAAATTATTACCAATGAACAATTATATTTAAAAATTATAGCCTTTTTAAACTTAGAATCTGTTGAGGTGGACTAGTAGAAATCTCTTATTCTCCAGTGATCTGCTAACATTTCTGGACATGCCTTTCCCTCTTCAAGCTAATTAGTCCTAAGAGAGAGGAGCATGTTAGCAAGATTAAAAAAATAATCTTGTGAAGTCTTTTGATCCCTTCCCAAACTGAATTCTATACAACAAAAAATGTCAAATCTCATGGATTTAGTTGCTGGGAAGGGAATGGGTTTATAATAGTTACACTGGACCTTTTAGTAGACCTGAAATTGTCATTTATTCTGTACATGATTCTTGTCAGGAAACTACGATTACAGTATTTCAATGTTATCGCATATTCAAACTATTATTGCTATTATTATTGGCACAAGACTGTCTTCATGCCATTGCTTGATAGTGGCAATCTTGTTACATTTAGTTTACCTAATTTCTGTATAACGTTTAGATTATTTTGGCAGACCTCTTTAAGTATATGAGAGGAAGAAATTCTATAGGTAATTACCTTGAAATAGTAACCTGCCCATGAGAAAGATTGACCTGTAAATTTCTATCTATTATGAAGCTGCTCAAGATTAAGAATTCAGTTACCAAAATTGTGGGTAACCTTAAACTCAATATCTTTTCTTTAATAACCAGGTAGTGCGAATTTAAAAATCTTTGTTTTCCGACAAGAATGAGACTTTAATATTAAAGGAAATGCATGTTGTATTAAGGTGAAGAATTCAAATTAGTTGATGATTAATGATTTTCATGTAAAACACAAATGATTTTTTAAATATATAAATGGGAGAAAATAATTGGTAGTTGAAATGGTTTCTTCCAATATCAAGTAGTTTCATTATTATTTTAATATATTGAAAACATTCCTTAAATGATACACTGAACAATAACAATTCTGTGGAATTTAAAAAGCTTGGTTTACTTGAATGTTTATATGATGTACAAACTATTTGAAATGAACTTTAATAAGGAAATGTTGGCATCAACTTTCATCAGCACCTATTGACACTTATGTGTCAATCTTATTTTCATGTATTAGTAGATTTATATGTGAGAGACTACTACAAAGAATCTTCTCCACATGGTAGCATATCTGTGTGTCACAGGTACCTCTATTTCAAGATTTTATTATATAATGTCTATCAAAAATATAAATTAATACGATAGTGTTCTTACAGTATAATACATTTTCTAATAACTTTTTAAGAAAATGGATCATGTTTTATTTTAAAGGCTTGTTATACACCGTACAACAATTTTTTAAAATGCAGTTTTCATGTCACATGACCTTTATAATGTTTGTGGGACTTGGATTGGTTTTTAGGGTTGCGTGTAATTGAATTTTTGAACAAAAAAGCCTTTACACTCATTTTGGAGTACTTTCTTAAAGAAATTATGTGGAAAATTTTAATGTCTATATTTGAGGTCCAGTGAATGTTACATGTTTTTATCTGTTAAATTTCATTCCTAATAAATATTTTCTTAGCAAAGCACTTAAATGCATTGTGTTGTATTTTGGGAACTGTACTGGGGGATGAACAGTAGATGAATATAGGGAACACACAATCACTTTAAGGTACAGATCCGGGGTTCTGGAAAGTGGCTTAGTTCCAATTTTTATATATGTAGCTCACTGATAGACATATATTTATCCCAAGCATGTTTAAATTCTGTTGCTTATGATTGATTCACTCCCTCTGCTGAAATTGGTTTCTTAGATTTCTTAGCTGTTTTCCTTAGATCTCACAGTTTTACAGACACACATTTTTATGCAGAGGATGGAATCGTCTAAGAATGCGAGATCTGGATCCTGGGGTGCGCTCCCTGCCTCCCTCCCTGTTGGTGGGCAAGCACCCCAACTCCCTTGGGGTGCCCCTTGCAGCCCATACATACTTCCCTTCCTACCCAAATTCCCATGGGGTGGCCAGTGCCCCAATCTCTCCATCTCTCCATCCGTCTCTGCAGTGGCACAATTAGCAAAGTCCAGGCAGGTTCTGCTGGATGATCCTGCCACTACCCACTAGAGCACCAAACCTGCCCAGACTTTGCCAATTACACTGCCACAGAGGCAGATGGAGAAATGAAAAGTTTGGTGCACCAACCACTCTGTGCCTCTTGCTTGTTGGAGGTACCTTGGGGGATATCAGGCATGCAGGGGGGTGCCTGTAGGCTGTGGGGGTCACTGAAGATGATCCCCAGAGATGTGGGCAGCTGTGCCCACCTGTTGCCGCCACAGAGCACACCCCAGGCTCCAGCACTCAAGGCATAGGAAGTGAGTGACCATAGGTGGTATGGAGCTCCCAGGTCCCGTGATTGCACTGCCCTAGCTTGCTGAAGGGGCTTTGGCATCCCTGGCAATGGTGCAGCTGCTCCAACTCAGCTGTCCTGCTGCCCTGACAGGCCACCCAACCGCCCTGTGTTCCCATCTCCTCCAGCCAAAACCAGCACAAAAAACTGACCCATGTTGATTGCCAGTCACTGCCACCTTCATGCCACAATCCCCAAAATGGTTCATTCGAACCAACCTCCCAGCAGTGCACTTACGATACCCATAGCGCTGCCCAGGCTGGGACCTAGAACTGTGTTAGCTTTTTTGGCAGCTGAAGCACACTGCTGGCTCATATTTAAATGAGTGCCCACTAGGACTTCAAAAACCCTCTCGTAATAGCTACTATTTAGTGAGGTGCCACCTATACTGTACCTGTGCATTTTGTTTTCATCCCTAAATTGGAACATTACTTTTTTCACCATTGAATTTCATATTTTTAGATAGCACCCAATATTCAAGTCTGTCAAGAAAGATCCTTCTGTATCTTAAGGCTATCTTTTGGAGTGTTGGCTAATCCTGCCAGCTTGGTATTGTCTGCAAATTCAGTGAGTTCCCCATTTATCATCTCATCCAAATCATTGATGAAGATTTGAAGAGTACTCATCCAAAACATTGATAAAAATGTTGAAGGATCTAAAACAGCCTTGGGATGCATATAGATACAGTTCCATTGAGGACTACACATTGAGTGTGGTCGGTCAGTCAGTTACGAATCCATCTGGTAGTGATACTGTCTAACCCACATTTTTCTATCTTATCAAGTAGTAGGTTATGGTCTACTTTATCGAATGCCTTACTGAAGAAAATTATATCCACAGCATTCCTCTGGTCCACTAATTTTGTCACATCGTCAAAGAATGCAGTAATATTTGTCTGTATGATCTGTTTTTGACAAACCCATGTTGGCTTTTGATTGTTACTTTGTTTGCCTCAAGGCGTTTGCTGATTTGTTGCTTGATTATCTTTTCCAGAATCTTCCCTGGTATTGAGGTCAGGCTGATAGATCTATAGCCGTGATGGCGAACCTATGGCACGCGTGCCACAGGTGACATGCAGAGCTATTTGTGCCGGCATGCGAGCTGCAGGCAAACTTACCTCACTGCGCATGCACATGCCTCACAGCTGATTTCTGGCCAATTTGAGGCCTTTTTTGGCCTCCCAGAGGCTTCAGGAAGGCTTCTGCAGGATTTTCAGGCCAAAAACTAGGCCCGTTTCATCATTTCCTGTTTTTCTGGAAATACAGGAAGTGATGGAACAGGCCTAGTTTTTGGCCTGCAGAAGCCAGAAGAAACTCCCCGGGAACGGAGAGTGTGTTGCTCCCCTGAGTGTGTCACACTGCTTCTTGGAGGAGAAGTAATCAATCGGATGAGTCCCTGGCTGGGCTGGGGCAACAATGCAAGCTCACTGTGTAAGAACCAGCTGTTCATAACAGATAAAAGCACCACTGCTTCTTAGGCACTAATTTTTCTGTATATATACCTTTCATGCTGAAAGAGGCTTTCTCTAGTTGCAGCCTACCATTTCCCTTTT